ACCAATACTATTTTGGGTTCCTTCTTGCCAGTATGGTATAACATACCCGCAACCCTACTCAACTTCATTCAGGCCCGGGAGGAAGAAAACCCCGGCGGCACACCCTTTAGGCGTGGCAAGAACAAGGGGGTGTGTTACCCGCTATATTAGTGAGCTGCCTCAGCTTTTGGATTCAGGGTGGGGCGCAGCTTTCAGTGCTTCGGAATGCCCAACTCGAAGCTTCAAGATTCCTTTAACGGCAGACCCGAAGGACCCTTAGACAAACCATAGCAAAGCCAAGCAGTGATGGTACCAAGGTGACGAAAGCAGTAGTTTAGAGCACGTAATCACAATGTCATCCACATCAGCTGACTAAAATGCGAATGGGCCTCGTAGCCATAAGTGGCATACCAACATCATTCAAAATCAGACATCCAAGGCACCCACAACAACTTTAGGGTTTAGGGTTTACAGGGCTTAGGGAGGGTTTCTGAGCCGAGACTCCTTTCAAGCCGTCTTTGGGCTGCAGCGATGAGAGGAGACTGCCACAGCGTGGTGGGGCGGCCCAAGGTTCGGGCGTTCGGGTAGACGAAAGCTTTGGGGTCGACCACGTTCTTACTACTACTACCACTACGACGACGACGACTACTACTACTACCACTACTACTACCACTACCACTACCACTACTACTACCACTACTACTACTACGACGACGACTACTACTACTACTGCTACTGCTACTGCTACTGCTACTGCTACTGCTACTGCTACTGCTACTGCTACTGCTACTACTACTACTACTACTACTACTACTACTACTACTACTACTACTACTACTACTACTACTACTACTACTGTTATTATTATTATTATTATTATTATTATGGTTAGTACTATCATTACTAGTAATATTGTTGTTATCTCTATTCTTATCAATATTAATATCACAGATATCCGAATACTTTTCTTATTCGATGAACTTGCTTATTGTTTGGCAGCTGGGATGTGCAGCTCATATGACCAGGGCGATGCTTATGACTCTCTTGGTGCCGATGGCGCCAGGCAATACAGACCACACGAAGTCGATGGCGCTTTTCCCTTTCTTCGGATAGCGCTGCCTATGGCTCAGCTACTTGAAGGCTCATGGGACTTAATAAGTAAGGTTATAAGTAGGTTATAATTAGGATAACCCCACTTAGGGGACTTATAACCCCAATTATAACCTACTTACTAAGTCCCATGATCCTCTAAGTACCCTAAACGCCAAGACTTTGGGTCTGATATGGCTGATTGATGCCATTGTGGGCCTTGTGGTTTACGGCTCTGGGGTTCAGCTTTTGGGGTTCTGTGGTTTATTCGCGACGTTAACTTGCTTGCGCGTGATCTTTCGGTGATTGGGTTGGTAAGGTTACAGTAGCAATTGAAGGTTAAGTTGCGATTCGGGGCTGTGGGTTGATGTCAGCAAGGGATGTATGTGCAGATACGGTTTATGGTTCAGGCTCCTGCGCTGGCGGTTTCGGCATCCAGGCCACAAAGGTTTGCACTAGTGCTTAGCTCCTCTTCGTGCATGGCTTGTTGAACGGTCCGCTTGCTGTCTGCCCTCATCCCACAACCCTAATCCCTAAACCCCAAAGCCTCACCTCATCCTGAAACCTTAAACCCCAAATCCCAAGCCCCCACCTCGTCCTTAAACTTTAAACCTTGGCAACCCAAATCCCAAACAGCTAGCCTCAGGCTGCTTTTGAGGCCGGACTTTGCGCAGAAAATGGTCGAGCCGCTTCGCTTGGTCCTGGCGAGTTTCGGACTTACAATCAGGGGGCTGAATGGGTTTAGGGTCTTAGAGTTTAGGGTTTACTTTAGTGCTGAAGGTTTAAGGTGCTTGTGAGTGTTAGAAGACGGGTTTAGTATGGGTGACTTAATAGAATAAGGTTGCTTCAAAGCATACCATGAGGGTTCCTACACGGCTTCTATGAGGGTGAGGGCTTCATACATAAATGCCGAAACTGGTAAATCCCAAATCCTGAGATCGGAGACCACCACCCACTCATTAGCAGCCTTAAGCCATACACGCCCCTTATTCCCAAACACTAAACCTTAACCCCCGCCCACCCCTTTCACCGCTGCCCCACTACATAATTACATGGGTGGTTGTCAAAATGAAGGCCCTTTTTCGGGTCCTTATTATACTACGACCTATTTTTTTAAGGTACCCAAAAAGGGACCATAATTTTGACCACCACCCATATAATTACAGATAGAGCCCATGGAAAATTTCAAAACCCTTCGGTGTCGAACCGGGGATCGCCTCCCGCTTCTGCTGTATCACCTCAGGGAGCCTCGGCCAGGGTTTATAGGGGCCCCGAAAAGCACATAAGCAAAAGTTAGGATAGGGATATCCCATGTAAACCCCTATGTGCTTTTTGGGTCCCTAAGTTTAGGGTTCCGGTGAGTTATATACACGGTTTAGTGGTTTAGGGTTTGGGGGCTTAGGGTTTAGCGGTTTATAGGGGGCTAGGGTTTAGGTGTTTAGGGTTTAGGTGTTTTCGGGGGTAGAGGGCTTGGGCTTAGGCATCCTGTAGGAGTTCTATAGAAAGCTTTCTAAAGGGGTGTAGGTCACAAGGATTCAGGAACTCTGTCTGTGTGCGTGCTTTAGAGTCTTTAGGTTAGACTGTAAACTTTGTAGTTTAAGATTAGGCATTTAGGGCTTTGGGGGCTTCAGACTTAAGTGCAATGGCAGGGTGCACAGAAGGCCTCGTGGAAAGCTAGTAGCATACTATTAGGTTTAGGGGTCTTGGCTTTGGTTCCTCGTTTCCGGTGTTCTTATGAAGATTCTTTCAGAAGGCATTAAACAGCCAGACTTGTACAGTAGCCATGAAACTCGACCCCTTTGTCAATTAGTGCAGACAAGGATTTACACAGAGAAAGCTATGTATATCATAACAAAAGAGTCGGGCAAGAGCACATTCCATTCATCCATCCATCCATCCATCCATCCATCCATCCAGGCAGGCAGGCAGGCAGGCAGGCAGGCAGGCAGGCGGCCAGCCAGCCAGCCAGCCAGCCATCCACCGACCCATCCATGAAACGGTGTAGAAGGTGCCGCAGGGCTCAGTCCTGCTCCCTAAACCCCAATTTACGACGCCAAGCCCAAACACCGAGCACAGCCACAATCGCGACAAAAAAGCCCGAAACTCTACAACCCTAAACCCAACGGCCCTACACATTGGTCCGAGACCCACATTTCGACTTGCTAAGGCCGGCTCTCCGGCTGCCGCGGAGTTTTTTGAAGCGGAGGCGGATCTGCCACAACAGCGGTGAAGGTTTAGCGTTTTGGGCTTAGGGTTATGCAGGCGTCAGGATTTTAGGCTTGAAGTCCTGAACCCGAAACCCTGACCCCTCAACCCGAAAGCCCAAAGCCCTAAAGCCTAAAAGCCCAAAGGCCCGCCCAAACCCTAAAGCCCCAAAGCCTTATTTGCGCCCTAAACCCTAAAGCCTACCTAAGCCTTGGGGAAGGGTCGTTGAGCTTTCAAGGCGCCTTTCTCACGGCAGCAGCACAGGCAAGACAAGGTAACGATACTTTCAGTTACCTATAACGCGACTTAATTAAGGTACTATAACCTTCGTTACTCCGTCCCCTAATCATATCGGAACCCTTACAGCAACCCTGACGCACTAAGTCTCCTGATCCTCCGACTCCAAGTAGGGCACCTTTCGAACCTGGAAGCTTCTCCCAGAGCACTCGACCTGAGTCTGCTTCGCCGGGGCCGGGCGGCAGAGGGTCGGGGACATTTTGTAGGGGCCTTAATAATTAGAATAGGGGGTTTGGGGCCCCTTGTAAAAAACATATAAAAAGGAACCTTGAGTGTTGGTGATTATTTTGGCTTCTACAGCAGGCTTGAGGTTTAACAGTTCGCGGTCCACCGTGACGATCGATATCTGCTAGAATCGCAGCCACAGCATGGAACCACCTCAACCTGAGGACTTTAGTATAGTAGTCGTCGTTTTCGCCAGAACGAGTGCTGTCGCCGGAGAAAAGCAATGATAACAACACGCATCTCCGAGCATCGGTGCTCGCAAAAAAGATAACTGTACGGTTGATGATATACATCCTGCATTACCCATAATAAGGACTATACCATAATTCCCATAGTTTAGGGGTCGTAAGGTAATGCAGGAGTTAAATCATCAACCGTAACACTAACGCAAAGCATGGCACATGACTCATCAGCCCCTAAGCTGCGAGAAGTTCAAGACCCTGGCTCGGCCAGAAAGCTTCCCCTACTATAGTTTTGGGGCAGATGATACGATAGTCAATTATAATAAGGGTCAGATTATACGATAGTTAACTATAATAAGGAACCAGAGATTATACTACAGTTAATTACAATCAGGAACCCACAAAATCGTATAGGGAATTTCTCAGGCCTTTGTATTAGATGCATCACAGCCCATGACCCTGCACCCGCGAACCTGGACAGTGAATTCCAGGGCCGGAACCACCCGAGTGGAAACCTAAACCCACCCCGAGAATTTAACCCTGAAAACGTGTTCTAACATACTTACATACATAGATATGTATACATATTTGCTTTGCTTTGCTTGCCATCAGAGGTAGTACGCGGCTTAATTAAGTGCATCTGTTCCAGTGCATAAACGGCAAAGAGAGCTGGTGCCTCCAGAAGTCTTCCGGCGCCCGGAGTCCTATGCGGTGCCCTTTTTGGGCAAGCTCACAGGCCTTTCGTAAGGCTTCAGGCAGCAGCGAAACATATGTGGACCTCACGGCTGCAGCATCAATTGCCCCTCTGCATCGTTGCCATGCAGCTTCCCAGTCAACGTCCAGCGATAGGGCAATTTCAGGGGTCCCGTGCGGTCCGGTCTGGCCGGGAAAGAGGCTCGGCCAATCGATCACATTGACCTTGCCGACGAAGTCATTCAGGCTATCCATGCCGATCATTGCCGATCTCCGCGTAGTCCGGCTCGTCCTCCTGCCACGCGTACCTGTCAAAGTCCTCGATCACTGTCAGCAGGTTCGCATAGCACTCGTCCAGTAGTCGTTGAGGCCGTTCACATATATCTCGCGAATCTCCGTCCCAATGTGCTCGACAATGCTCTGCGCCTCACAGTAGTGCAGCGGGAACTCGCCGAGCACCGAGCACAGTAGTCGCGAGATGTCCTCAACATCCGTAGGCACAGACACACTCAGGAGGGCGTCACATAGAGCTGCATGCGCTCGTCGCATCACCTGGTCCCACACTTCCTCGTTCCACAGAGGCATCGGCATGACTTGCTGAACAGGTACCGACACGGTGAAGTTCTCGTCCTGCTCCGCCCTGAATCCTCTGCTGCCGATGCCAGGGAGTGGCGCCTCTTGGCGGGCCCCACCATTTCGAAGTGTGTTCGCGCAGGTGCGTGAGGCCCGGAGGTGAACCTCAAGTCGCGCCCGCGACCAGTACTGGCGGCCACATGCCCGGCAGAGCGTACCTTCAACCACGCTTCGATACTGGGCCTTGCGCTTGTGCACTTTAAAGAAGTGAGCGCCGAGTGCCGCCTTGGTGCGCACCACCCTTGCGCAGGGGCGGCACACCCACCGTCTTGGCCGCGGCTCATGAGAGCTGTGGCTGCCAGCTTGCCGCCTGTAGACTCCCCACAGGCAGAGTAGGACAAGCTGCTTCTCCTTGAACACCGCAAAGTCCTTCGCCAGCGCCTTGTTGATTGCCCGTTTGATGGCACCCTGTGAGTTGATCCACAGATGGTGCCATTGCGGCCAGGCCGCCTCCGTAGGCTCTGGAAGATTGGGCTCTGCCCGGCAGAGCCAGCACAGGTCTTCAACAATTACCTGTAGCCAATCCTTCTCTTCCTGAAGTACGGCCCATAGCTCCTTGGACCCGATTTTGACAAGCGATCCCAGGAGGCCAAGTCTTGCCTTCCTAGCAAATGCTCCTAACTGTGGCGTGTCCGTCAGGATGTGCACCGCAGGGGCAGCTAGCTTGCAGTAGTCCTCCTGGGCAAGGTCCTTCGAAAGGAGGTTCTTCAGGACTCGGGTGAAGCCACGATCCAGTAGCTGCCAGCCTTTGCCCGCCGGGATCCACAGGCCGAGATTGAAGAAGGTCGCCACGATGTAGGTCCGGAAGAGCGAGGCCCGCGTGAGGAGTGGAATGGTCTTGTTGGTGAAAAAGAGGTCCCGGCCGGTGTCGAAGGAGGCTCGGGCGATCCCCAGTCGTCTCCTGGCCTCCATTGTCATTTTCATCTCGGGGTCGACAAGTCCGCCGAGATGTACATATTGTCCGGCAACCTGCACATTGAGCCCAAGGTTCTCCAGAGGGACCTCCTTCTTCCCCTTCGGGAACCACTGTTGTTTGGCGCTCCTGGCACCTCGTCCTCTCAGCGCAATGATCAGCGCCGTCTTCTTGGGTTTGAGGTTCGGCAGCATGCCGTGTTTGTGGCAGAATGCCACAACGATGGCCGTAAGGCGGCTGGCTTTCTTCATCAGTTTCACCGGACAGCCATCACTCACCGGCAGCGCCACATCATCTGCCCAAACGGTGTCCGTCGCCTCGACAGCGTCATCACCCGCACCTCCATCAAACGGGCCACGGGCCATATCGAGGTCCATCGGGGTGAGGAGCTGTTCGCCGACTGCGGTCTCGTTGATCTGCGCCAGGATCCTCTTGAGCACAAACGCATAAATCAGGTCCGCCCAGGAGCTCCCCGGGCGTGAACCTGCGCGCGTGTAACAAAGCTCCTCGCTGGTCCCATGTCGTGATACGAACCAGGACTGGTGCATCACGTCCTTGACCTGGTGCCGTAAAGCTGCAGGGAAGCCGGCATCCGCAAGCATCCCTCCATTCGCGATGTCCTTGAAGAACTCCTTCGCATCCTCAGGGTCAATGTGGAAGTACTCGAAAATCTTGCAGACAGCACGATCGCTTTCAACCTGGCCGACACAAAGCTCCCGTATCACTCTGTAGTACGCAGCTTGGGAGTCTAGGAAGAGCACCGCAACAGATTCCCTGCGGCGAATGGCCCTCCGCAGGAAGCTCTGTATGTATAGAGGCCAGGCAGAGTGACTGGTGCATGTGGTCTGGGGCCGAAGTGCAGTCCATGCAGTCCTTCACGGAGAAAGGGCAAGGCTCGCTTCCTGAGAAGCTTCTGGTAGCACTTACCTACCAGCGAGGAGATAAACAGCGAGCGGTAGTTGATTGTCCGCCTGGGCAATGCTCCCCGAGCCTTTCCAGGCCTCCTGCAAGATTCCTCCTCGCCACTGCGCAGGTTGGGTCAGGCTGACCGCCGTTTTGGCGAACAAGGGCAGGAGGGCCCTCGCAGTGGCATGAGGTGCCGCAGCCAAGAATTCACCAGGCACCCCATCCAGCCCAACAGCCTTCCTGCGTGGTGCTTGTCGGAGCACCGCTTCGATCTCAGGGATCGATGGCACGTCAGTGATTTGCCACTGGATGTCTTCGTCAAGTACGGGCTGCTCACCTTGTTGGGCGAGATAGGCCTCTGTTCGCATGACCACACCGAACTCCTGGTCACCGAAGTACTTGAGCCAGATCTTGTCCCTGTCAGCCGCACCGGCTGCTTCTTGGCCCTTGGCATCTTTTAGTGCCGGGAGAGGGCGCTTCTTTTCCTTGGCCCGGCGACCACCCACGCCGGCCTTCTCGCGGTCCCTGAGAGGTCGCAAGGCGGTGGAGGTAGTCCGCTTTATCCTGTTGGACCCATTTCTTGATTGTAACCGTGGCCCAGCGCACAGCACCCGCAACGACATCATACAGCAGGGCCTGCTTGCAGGCGAGCTTCTCAACTCCAAAATCCGACTCCTGCTGCCGGTGGTAGAAGGCCCTGGCGGTGAGTGCCTTCCACAGCTAGGCCAATGCGGTGTCTCGTGCGCTCCTTGAGGGCCATCTTACTGGAGCGTAGCTTCCACGCCTGCTCCCTGACGTAAGTGGCCCTGGGTCCATGCGGCTCCAAGCTGAAGTTTGCCCGGAGAACACTGTGCACATAGTCCTGGAAGTGTTGGCAGTGGTCACTGGGATGGACCAGCCACTGCGGCGGAGTGTAAGCACGCATGGCTGCGGCAATGCATTGTTTTCCTTCACCCGTCAAGATGCGGTCACCATCATATTTCGGCCTCCATAGCCTGGTACGGCTGGCAGCATCCGACAGGCGTCCATCCATCTCTATGGCAACAGGGAAATGGTCCTCATTGAGGTTTGCCGTGTCAAAGTCCCGGTCGACCCAGCTGCGCAGGTTCGCAATGCTAGCCCGGCCTCCAAGGGCCCAGTAGTCAATGCGGTGTGGGGTGCCATTGGCTTGTAGGTATGTGGTGCTGCAGCCAGGGTGCAGCTCTCGGTATGTGGATGGGAACCATAGATTGGCTTTCTTGGCTATCGCACACATTCGGTGACCAATGTCATCGGGGTCCCCATGAGCCAGTGCACCCGTGGTGCCCGGGACACCGGTTGGGACACGGCCATTCAAGTCCACCGGAACTCCGCCGCCTCCTTAGGCTTAGCCCCATGCAGGCAATGTCCAACAAAGACGACTACCTTGGGACCCCCGATGTCAATCGCCAGAGCCAGGATCCGCGGCGACTCGGCCACAACTCTGATATCAGCTTCCTGAACCAGGCACGGCCTCTGATTTTTAGACAGTAGGCCCCTTGTCTTGCTGATCCAGACAGAGGTGCCCCAATGTGACTGGGACTCTGTGCTCAGTCGCAGGTACCTGGAGCTGGACACCACACCGACCACACCTGCATGTCTCTTGGCTTCCTGGAAGCAAGCAAGGTTACATTGCAGCTGTTCCAGTTGCTGTTCGAAGTAATGGTGTTTGCCTGACAAGCTCTGTGCGTTCAAGGCTAGCACCTTCATGCTGAAGTCATGAGTACTCCAGCCACCATCTCCCCAGCCAGGTTGAACCAGGATGAGTTTCTGCGGCGACAAAGTAGGCGGGTTGAATGTTGTCCGCTGCGACCACTGAAGCCCGCCACCAGCTCCAAAGGGGAGCACTCCAGAGCAAGCATGTCTGAAGTGCGTGGCAAGCCATGTGAAGTCACCCCGCAAAAGGTTGAGGCCGGCTTGAGAGGGTGGCGCCACAATCCTGTGAGGCTGTAGCGCTGCCAGGTTGGCCATTGTGTCAGCCAATTCATTGTATGGGTCACCCGCATGCGCTTTTACATGACGAAGAGCGAGTGGTGCCACATTGATTTCAATCAAGAAGCTCTCGAGGACATGGGTGCCTTCCGCGAAGGGGTTGACCGGTACCCATTCGCCCGTAGCCGAGAGCCCCGCAGACTTGCAGTCATAGTGCAGAGTCACACCAGCAAATTGGCGGAAGTTACAGCCCTGTGCAAGCCATAACAAAGCCACCGCAATGGCAACCTGCTCATTTTTGAGAGCAGGGGGGTCGACAAAGTCCCAGATACTATCGTCGTTGCCCTGTGTGCGCTCTCCAAAGACACCGTATAGAGCCGTCATGCCTGCAGCAACCAGCACGACTACAATGGCATAGCCGCCCAGCTGTTTCGGTTCATGCCATGACCCATCCGAGTAGATGTGGGCCGCAATCTCGGAGTTCTCATGGTTGCCAAAAAGAACATCCCGGTCGACAAATCGTCGGACCGCCTCCGTCGTGCTGGGCTTGAGGTCCGGCTGGGAGAGGTCTACTGCAGGGTCTTCCGTGTGCCAAGGTAGTAGTAGCTGAGCAACATCACTCGCATCATGGGGCATGTGCACGGTCTGTTGCGTCATGTCATAGTGCGTGGGGCCAATTGCGTCAGCCAAGCAAATAGGCCTGCCCTTCGCTGCCTGTCTGCCCCTGCTTCTCGACCTTGGACGGTTTACTGGCTCTGGTGGTGGGGGTCCTTGTGGTACTCCATCATCTGGCGCTGGCGACCCCGAGAGGTCACTGGAGTTCGGGAGAGCATCAAAAGTGTCGCTGCTACCCGACTCTGAGTCCTCATCCTCGCCCACAGGTGTAGGTGTGATCTCTCCTGTAGGTCGTAGCGCTGCTTCCAGTAGTTCTCCATCGTCGACAAAGACCAGCCCTGCCGTTCTCCTAACAACGAGTGAGTATCCCGGCAGGAAACGGATGTCCAAGGCCTCGATGACATCACCCGGGAAGAAGCAGTTCTCACGGAGCGCTACCCAGATCGGCCATAGGCCGATGCCCCGTAGGTCCAGGGTAACGATCCAGCTGTCCCGTTGTGGGTACTGGGCCTCCTCCACCACCGCAATCACAGTATGCACTCGACGGCCCTTCCAGTAGAGTCCATAGGGTCTCTGTGTGGCAGATCTCACCCAGATGCGTTGCTGCTCGAAGTCAAAGATCTCGCTCGCTACAGCAAGGGGGGTGTAGCCATCGCCCCTCCGGACTTGATGCAGCTTGTGTCGAGCGACCGTCTGGAAGGCGAAGTGTGTTCCAGAGAGATGTCCCAGGTGTTCGGTGTTCGGGTTCCATCTCCGTGGGTCGGTAAGCCTCTCAGCGATGACAGAGGCCCACACAATAGCACGACCCTGCGGTACCACCTTGATGACCCCACCGAGGACAGGCTGCACGGCTTCGTTGTCTGCCAGCATACGTGGCTCGCCGAAGACATAGACATCGACAGGGGCCGTGGGCATCTGCTCCATCTGGTAGAGGACGTCTCGTTTGCTGAGTTCGCCGCGGTGGTAGAAAGCGAAAACCCCTTGGCCCATTTCACGGGCATCGATCAGCATCACAATTCGGTCCGACACCCGCTGCCAGCATGGCAGCACAATAATGCTGCCATAGTCCTCATGTAGTTGAGGTCGGGTGAAGACAGCATCTGTGAGCCAGTCTGCCGTGACAATCCTGGCCGATTCTCTGACAAACTCGAGCACGTGGTCCGTGTTGAGCGGGAACTCCAGGGCAATGTCCACCGACTCGGTCTCATAGTGGGGGGAGAAAACCCGGAAGGATACATGAACCGTCGCCTCGTCTTCCTCATGGTCTTCCAGCTCGAGGTCATCTGGTTGCAGCTGTCATGTGTGGATCAGGAGCACGAGCGAGCGGAGGGCCGTCAGCATAGGCCTGCGTGGGCCATTGTCCAGCACTCTGCAGCGGCTGCTCTGAAGGGCGAGTGCGGCTTGTTCCTCTCTTGTCAGCTGCCCACTGCACCAGATCTCAATGTCCGTGGGCCTGGGAGGTGGCCAGGGATGCCACAACTGCAGCCGTGGAGTATGTGGCGTCACCGCCCCTGTCCGTCCACAACAGACTGCCAGAGGAAGCAGTATGCTGGTCCACTTCGGCGGCCCGCCTCGTATGCATCCTCTTTCCCGTCTGGTTGCGAAGGGTCTGCTCCATATGGAATGCATAACCAGCACCCCGAGTATATAGGACCACCGTCAGGCAGAAGAAGAAGGGGGCCGCCATTGCTCCGCCCCAGCATTGTACCAGGTGTACTCCCCAAACCAAGAGGAGCATTCCCACATCCATGGTGTAGTCAAGGAGGTCGAAAATATCCCAAATCTTCCTCGCAAAGTTCATGCCACCATACTGTGGCAGGCTGCACACAGAATCACAGCAGCCGAAGCCACCAATTTCCAGTACAGAGTTCGTGTGCCCAGACCACAAAGGGACAGGGCCGTTGTGCAAAGGATTTTTGGAGGACAAGCCGAAAAAGCCTCCATGTAGCAACCACAGCCCCAGAGAAGCCGCCGTGGTGGTCATAGTCAGGGCACCCCGGCCCTTGTATAAAACGCAGGTACCATCCACGCCACCTGCAACCATCACCTGCAATCCATGTTCAGGTTCTAGTCGATCTCCACTGGCTGTGGGACACCCGCAGCCGCTCGGAGCGTTGGTGTGGGGGTTCTCGTCCCCGTCCTCCTCTTCCATGCATGCCTCCATCATGGCCTCCCTGCTCCGCTCGAGCTTGCTCGCCAGTGAAGCAGCAGAGGAAGGGGCCACCACTGGCTTTCTGCCCTGCTCCCCTTCAGTGGCACTCTGGCGGTCTGGGACTTCAACCTGGTCCATCCAGGGTCTCCGGCCTGAGCCCCGTGAGTCCCAGGGGTCGCGTAGCACTCCCGGTCCTTCGTCTCCTGCAAGTCCTTGCCATAGGCCATCCGCATCCGTGGGTGCCGTGCGTCTGGACGTCGTGGTAGCCGGCGGGGTTATGGGGAGGGTTCTCGTAGATCTCTTTGGCGGTGTAGTTCCCCGTTCTCGCCGTTTCCTGTGTCCTTCGAGGACTGCCAGCAGTTTTGCCCTGGCCTGGTCTCTCGGCGGGCCCCTGCCACCTCCGCTGTGCCTTCCATGAGACGAGCCCATTCCGCCATGGCCTCCGGTGGTGGTGCCAGCGTCGCAGGTTTCGCCATGTACTCCTTGGGATCTGCGAGGAGTGCATAGAGCTCGTCCACCGCTGTCTCCTGCTGCTTCTGCGCGTCCACGGTCTCCTGCTTGATCTTCTCCACCAGGTCGCGGTGCTTTGTCCATTCGCTCATGAACGAGGCCTTGAGCTCCTTCTGATACTGTGTCCACTTCTTGTCCACTTGTTCTCTTTCCTCCTCTTGTTTTCTGAGGCGCTGCTCGCTTCGCCTCACATTGTTCACGAGCTTTTGGACACACCTCACGAAGTCTCCCGTGCCGGATCCAGTGCTGGCCGGCTGCTCCCTCGTAGTCCTGGGTCCATCGCCATTGTCCGTCGGCATCATCTCGAAGGAGGGGAAGGCGTGTCGAGGCGGCTCCTGCGGCCGCTCCGAGTATCCAGAGTAGTCCGAGTAATCCCACCAGTCCTGGTGATCTCCTCGGCTTTGTCGTCCTTTGGGCTGCTGGCTCCATTTCGCTTGTTTTCCCATTTGGGGCTGTGTGAGCTCCCGATACTGCGGGCGGGTGTGGTGTGCAGTCAGCCCCTGGATTGCCCAGAAGGGCGGAGCTTTCCCTTGGTTGCGGCACTTCTTGATGTGCCTCCGTAGCTGTGATCTTTTCCGCCGCTCCGAGCGGTGCCAGTTCGGCGAAGGTGGATGCTTGCCGATGGCTGCTACTGTCGTGCTCTGTTAGCACTGGGGATTGGCTATGCTGCCCCTCCTGGGCGCTCGATCCAAACCCTATGTATACATACATATATATATATATATATATATATTTATATATGTAATATGTAGACAGGACATATGAATAACGTATGTGGGTTGACGATGATGATCATCATGGTCACGATCTTTATTGTATCATGCAACTCCACGAGATTTGGGAGTTTGCGAAAATGGGGGAAACCAATTTCGTACCCTAAATAGTAGGATCCCTATGATAAGGACCCCAAGTAAACCCTAAACCCTAAACCCTAAAAGGAACCATTATAGATCCCTTTAAAGGTACCCCCTAATTTTCGGAAACTCCCATTTCCAGCAACTCTGAGCCGAGAGGCGTAAGCCTCGCTCGTCTGAGGGCACACCTCGGTGCGCGACTCAACGTAGAGGTTTTAGGGGTTTGGGGTTTAGGGTTTAGGGTTTGGGGTTTAGGGTTTAGGGTTTGGGGTTTGGGGTTTAGGGTTTAGGGTTTGGGGTTTGGGGTTTAGGGTTTGCCGTAGAGTGGCGCAGAAGCGGAAATAGCTTGCGACAGTGTATTGTCGAGTGCGTCGTAATATGACGATTGGTTGTTGGAGCCTGATGGTGGATGGCTCTTTCTTTTAACTCTCCCACCCCACGCCGTCTAAGGCGGCCAAACCACCCTAACCTATTCCTTTTAGGGCTTAGCACCTAAACTCATTCGATGGTTTTCTTTGTTTCTATAGACTAGGCCGGGACAATGTCCCGGGGGGGCCCTGGGACAACTGTCCCGGGGGGGCCCCGGGGACAAGCGGGGTTCTAAGCCAATCCAGGGCTGGGGGGCCAGGGGGGGCGAGGGGGATCCTGTAAAAACACAAAAAGAGCGGTTTTTGTCCAGTTCCCCCCTAGGACCAGCCAGGAGGCTAGGTCCTGGTGAAGGGTTTGGGGTTTAGGGTAATTACTTTAATAGGGACCAGTACTGGTCCCGTTGAGAACGTGTCCCGGTACCGGGCCTAACGTGGGTGCTACAGTACCCCTGGCTGTGGCGAGCGTGCTGGATCGACCTGCGCCATCGATGTCGAGGGGCTTAAGCGCCGCCCACCATCGAAGGTGGGCGGCCTAGGCCTTGAGTTTAGAGTTTGGGGTTGAGGGTTTGGGGTTTAGAGTTTGGGGTTGAGGGTTTGGGGTTTAGGGTTTGGGGTTTGCAAGCCTTTCAGTCGCAAAAGCGCTCTTTTTCAGGGTAGCAGTGGTAGTAGTCGTCATCATCATCGTCGCAGTAGCGGTAGTAGTACTACAAAGGTTCCGTTCAGGGACATTTTAGGTTAGTGTATGGTTTACTATAAGGGTTTATCACGGGCCTGAACAATTTGAACAAGGCTTTTGGGTACTTGTTCCTATAGTTGTGATAAGGAACCAAAAGGAATGCTACTGGCAACTGTTGGGGTTTCTCATTAGGGCTTGTGCAGGTTTAGAGGTGTGGGGTCAAGGATCGTTGGGGAGCCAGGGCTTCGAGTTTAGGATGGCTTCGGGTCGGGGCTTTAGGCTTCAGGGCTGTAGAGGCTTAAGGGGTTTGGGGTTTGGGGCTGCTTGGTGTGGAGGGCTTCAGGAAGTCTGCTGAGTCTTGGAGTGTCGGAGAGGGGAAGTGCGGAATTCATGTGGACCTTCTCAAAAACGAAACAAATGAGTCATACAGCAACACGACTTACGACTGAGAGCCTGAGAGCTTTATTTGAGCTCAGGCGTTATGCTGCATGGCAGGGGCGAGGGGCACATGTTATAGGAGCTTGCCTGCTAGGCGTGCAAGGGATGCTCCAGACTGTGGCGTAAGACCGCAAACATTCGCCCCATCATGTGAGGGTTTCGGACTCGTACACCGACTGGACCTATGAATCCAAGCATGCAGCCCGAAGAGGGTGTTGGTGTATGTTGCGCTACACTTGCAAGAAGTTTCGCGAAGTAGCATTGACATTCAGGCCCCTGCATCACTGCAACCAACGACAGCGCAGCACCGCAAACACAGCGTCGGACACGTTTCCTCTCCTGCATCCCTGATCGCCGAAGTGGGGAGTGTGTTTCACCGGTGGCAAACTCCAGCACGATATCGTTCCACTCGCTGCCGCGGAAAGAGTCGAAACTAACAAAAACCTGTACGGAACTTCTCTGCACTCAGCCGTACAGAAGTCTTTGCATCAAGAGCTCTGAAAGCCGATGTGTGCCCTCATGGTGCCGTCTCTAAATAATTGCGAGCTTCACCACCGCAAAAATCTGAAACCAGCAACTTGCTGTAATGTCAACAACTCCTATAGTTTTTGCAATCTCTCGCCCAGTTGCCTTTTGCTTTCAGGCTCCTCGGCTACCGCTGCTCATGCGAGCGTTTCTGCCTGATGGCGGCGGCGGAAGCACGATCTACTGCTTCGTCTGTACTTTGCTCCGCTTCTGCTGGGCTCGGAAAACCGTGCTTGTGACATTCACCTCTGCCCCTCCGCGCCTGGGCCACTACGAGATGTTTTCTGTTGGTCGTCGGGGCCATTGTCATGGCCCACATCAGGTTATGGTGGGGAGGTTGTTCCGAACGTGCTCGGCTGAGAGTCGCGCACGCTCGGAACAACCCACCGATCAACTTCAGGACAACAAACCCTAAACCCCTAAACCCTAAACCCTGGGCCACGGGTGGAGGGGGAGGGAGGCCGCCAGGGAAGGTGGGCTCACGGATCTCTGCGAGGATCCTTTCGTCGCGGTGAGTCCATCGCCAGCGGCCGTCGCAAAGGTAAAAACACAGGCTATCCGATGTTATTGTAGGGTGGAGAACTCTTCGTGATCGTCGAGTGAACTTATGACTTTGGGGGCACATGTCGAAGTACCTCGTTCATCGAACTCTGCGTATTCACCTCTGGTGCTTGCCGAGGTTTTGCTGTACATCTCGGCACGGCGGCTGTACAGCTTGGTGCTGTCTTGCCGGAAGAAACCGCTGTCCGACCTCGTTACTGTAGAAGCCCAAAAGTTGGAAACCCAATAGCCTCAATCCTTAAGAGTAATGTATAAGGAATCCCAGCACTATTTGGCCTTAACCTGGTTTCCAACTTTATGGGGTTTACTGTATCCCTCAGGCCGTTTCAGAGTTGTGCAGCAGTCCGCGCATCTGAACCTGCCAGCTTCAGGGCTTAGGAATTGTCCCGGATCTGCAGTTCGGGATCTTACCCAGAGGGTCCATATGGGAGTTTCCGAAAATTGGGGCTAGCTTATTTGGGGGTCCTTATAATAAGGATCCTACTATTTAGGTACTATATTGGGGTCCCTTATTTTCGGAAACTCCCATATACACTACTATTATGGAATCAGGTCCCAAAAGACCATCCCTCGTATGGTTTTGAGGACCTAATTCCATAATGGTAGTGTATGTGAACCCTTTGGGTTATTAGGTTGCGTTAGGGTCTAGGGTCTAAGGTTACTCTGAAGGATCTCAATTGTGCCAGGGTTTAGGTTCGAAGGTTAGTTGCTGCAGGGGATCTTGATAGGTTGTGGGGTTTGGGGTTTAGGGTTACTATAAACTTGACTGGAGGTCTTCTGGGTGTAAGGTTGGGGCGAATGGTGTGTGGCTGACGACTGACTTTGGGTTACTGACGGCTTTAGTTGGCCCAGTTGCTTCCAGAAGTTACATTCAAGCTAAATCCGTCAACCCCTATCCCTGGACCATGTCGCCGATATCTCGGATGCTGAAACTGCTCGTAATCATAAGCCCGACACCCTCAGCCCTAAACCTTGCATTGCAGAATCCCTAACCCGTCTCGCATGAGCCCGAACACGCTTGCTCCTTCGAGAAACAATTTCATTGTCAGGGTCAAAGGGTCATGCGCTGGGGAGTTAGGGCAAGGTTTAAGGGTTTATAGGGCCAGTGGTTTGAAGTTGAATTGCTGATGCGCCGATAAAATGTTCTGTATCAAGCTTGCATAATTACACCAAGAAAGGCTCAAAAACCCGAGACCGGAAAGCCCAAAGCTACAAGCGCATCAGCTGATCTTAGATCAGAAGAAACGCTGTTCTGCTAACATGTGCATGGGGCATGCACCCGCGCATCCCAAAAGTCGTATAAGTCGTCGACCAGCATCATGCTGCTTAACTCTATATTGGCGTTGGGGCTTTGGCTTAACAGGCTACAGGACATCCCGCCTGGGGGCTCTACAGGCCCTCAAGACCAACTATAACAAGCCCCTGTGAGCACAGAGCTGTCCGGGCCTTCATCATCAACTAAATCCCGAACGCAATGGTCCGTCTTTCGGAAGACGAACCCTGGAACTTCCTCTCGAAAACTCTTCTGAGTATGTTTGTGTCACTTGGATGAAGATTTGGAGTGCGGGGCTGGGGGTCTCGATACTGTAGGACATCGAAGATTCCACAACGCTCGATGTCCTGGTCCTCTTGGTATGATTTGGGAGTTTCCAAAAAATAGGGGACCCTAATATAGTACCCGAAATACTAGGATCCCTATATAAGGACCCCCAAAATATGGTAGCCTTAATTTTCGGAAACTCCCGTTTGTTTCAAGGAGTCTGGGCCTTGCGGGTGTTGGATTTAGGGTTGATGCGGATTCTGTCTAGTCTAGGGCTGGGCGAGCAGGAGCTTAGGCAGTTTAGGACCCTTGGGCCTGGAGATTCTGGGATTCGGGATAT